AAAGCTTGAGCCCGACGGCGAGGGCAGTGGCCGAGGAGAGCCGGCACTGAAAGTTCATGGCCGGCGTAGACGACCTGCCCTTGGCGTGCACAAGAATCACCGACATATTATCACCCAAGAGAAGCACCCGAGAGTTGTGAAGACTGCAATCGCGAGCAACGTGCCGCACCGTCCAGGTCCGGGCCCGAGCCTCAAGTTGGACCTGGGACCCCGGGACCCCCCTCCAGCGGCCGGCATGGGCCACAGCCCAGCCGCGCTCGACCAGATGAGCCGGGACCTCGGCAAACGCCCGAGACCGACCCAGGCCCAGGACGTTGGCCTCCGAGGCCCCAGAGATCTCCAGCTCCTCCTGGCGCTCGAGGGCCCGGGACCGCGGCGCCTCCGAGACGCTGAGGAGGCCACGAAAGCGGGCCCGCTCACGAACACGACCCGCGGCGGCGACCTCTCCCGGCTCCCAGCACGCCGACCCGACTCCAACGCCCCAGCAGGAGGCGTCGTAGCCGAAGGCCCGACTAGACCAGGGCCGACGCATCGACGCACGAGCCAGAGGAAGCAGAGCCCGCATCCACCGAACTTCGCGATGTACAGACGGCCACAAAGGCTGACGACGGGTGTCACTCTCGGGGGTGAAGACATAGCCCTTTTTCCATGAGGCACAAGAGCTCTGGGGAGAGCGAAAACAAAGCCGTGACGTGGCCCACGAAACGCTCGAGCTCCTGCCCCGCGATACTCGGGCGAACCTCCGGGAGGTAATCTGACGCCAGCTTCAACCTCCAGAACCGACTAGATTTAGGGCGCCACTCACCCGAGGAGCCCACCAAAGTAAAACCTATGAAGTCATTGTCTCCCGCCTCCGAGCTCTCCAGGGCCGACGCGGTCCCGAGGTCCGCGAGCCGAGACTGCATTCCCAGGACATCCGAGGTAGCGACCGACTTATTCTGGAACAGGGAAACGAAGCTGTCGATATACAGTCCGCGCAGCGACCCAACGTCGCCAAGAGGTGGGAGCGGAACTTTATCTAGGAGCCATGGGGCCTCGGGGGAAACTTCATCAAGCTGGCGCTGGTTAGCGGCCTGCACAAGGGCCACGGCCCAATTCCAACCCATAAGCACCGCGCGGGGCCGCAGGCGAGCCCAACCGCGTTTCCGAACCGCGTCCGGCAATGAAGCGACGAGGGCCGGGGACAGGTGAGCAATGGGCAAGATCGGCAGACCGAAAAAGCACTTGTACTGTCCAGGGAGAGCGAACTGGTAATAGCAAACTTCGACGTCGCCTCCGTGCAGCACGGGAATGGCACGGGGCTGGCATTCGAGATGAGCAAGGGCCTCGCCGGAGGGCAAGACCGCAGCAGGGGGCTCGCGGAACCGAAGGTTGGGCACGCGAGCATCCCAAATCAGACGAAGGGCGCCTGATTTTTTTCTAAGAACATGTCACTTTCTTCGAGCGCATCGTCGCTGACCACCACAACGCCAGCAACCCAGAGTTCGGAAGCAAACTCTCCAAAAAGTCAAGGGTTGTCCCGCAGGACGGGATCAAGGAACAGGCTGCCACCAAAACTGCCACGACGAGCGGCAGCCTCATCCTCAGAAAGAAAGATTGAAAGATCTTCAAGCGCGGACTGCAGGGCAGGCGGCAAGCACTCACTGAGAGACTCGCCCAGACAGCCCCGCGGGAAGCGACGCGTTCCCTCGCTCGAAGTTCGCGCGAGCACCGACGGCCATCGCATCGTCCGCGTAGCCGGGCCGCAAACCCTGGAGCGACTGCCACGCTCCCAGGGCGCTCCCGCAATCAGGCGGGGGAGCCGCGACAGATCCATATTGTCGGGCAAGGTGCCGAACAGCCGAGACTTGAGCTGAAGTCAGCGAAGCAGGCGAGGTCGCAGGCGGCTGCGGGGCACCCAACTCATTAAGAGCGCTGATGCCCTCGAACAGCCACCCCCCCTGAGCCCGCCGACGCCGAAGTCGCCGTCGCTGACTCTGGGACAGGCCGAGCCCGCTGGCACCTCCCGCACAGACCTCCGACGCGGCGCCCAAGGAGATCGGTAGGATGTCGCGCTGCCTCATCAGCTGCGAAGCTGAAAACACCTCAGGGCGGCACCGCCTGCCCGCCCTGAACCCCTCACGAAAGCCCTCGAGGAGGCGGGGCGCTCCCCCTCGCGGCGGCGCAGGACAGGGGGAAGACGGGCCGTCAGGCCTCCTGGTTCTCCTTGATGGGGCCCCTGGGCTTCTCCCTATGGTCAGCCGCTGCAGGTCCCACCCCAACTCCCTTTGCCAGCAAAGCCTCCTCCCTCGACCGGCGGCGCACCTTGAGCGCGGCGGCCTGGGTGGCCAACTCCTTCTCCACGATGTCTTCCAGCTCGGGCACGATGATGACGTCGCTCCAACGATTCTTGACACCAAAGCACAAAGAACGCTCATTCAGCCAGTCGTCGCCGCTAGAGACGCCAATATCCACCTCACGAAGTAAGTCCTTGTCGGCGCTCTCCCACATCTGGCGCCGGCGGCTGTCCAGCTCGTGCGTCGCAGGATTGCCGATCTGCACCTGGTCCACCGCCCTCACCACCTCGATGAATGATGACAGCAGCGGGCGCTCGTCCACGCCCACGTCGATGGCCATCGAACCCATCACAGAGCGCCACCCGAAGTGCCGCTGAAGAAGCCGTGGTTCCCGTCGTGGATCTGCTCCGCCGTGAGGTGCGTCGACCGTGGGCCCTCGATCTCCCAGTCGCCCGTGACCCCGACAAGCTGCAGGCCCTGCAGGGCGCTCACCACGCTGCGCCGGGGGTGCCGCCGGCCATCCCGTATGGTGGCCAGAATGCGGGAGTCGTCACCTCCCACAGCACCAGGAGCCACGAGCAGGGTGCCCTCAAGGCCGCAGGACAGCACCGTGCCGCTCCGCCGCTTGAAGCGGCACTGGTCGTTGGCGCTGATCTCGACCGCCCCGAGAGCGACCGTGAGAGCGTCGTCCCGCTGCGCGATAACGGAGCCCTCCAGCTCAAACCATTTCTCCACCAGGAGAGCGGAGCCCTCCGCAGAGGTGAACGCGCCTGGGCCCCCGCCAGGGGCGGGGCCTGGCGCCGCCGGCGCGGTGGGCCGAAGGCCTCGCGCGAACGCCTCCACCGTCTTCATGTCGTACTGGCGGCTCGCGCCGAACTGGTAGTGATCGAACAAGAAGTGCGAACACCCACGACGAGCAACTGGCAACTGTCCGTTGGCCAAAACCCGCCGCAACCCATCAAAAATATCTAAGTCCCGCGAATCCGCGGCCCAATGAGAGCCGCCGACGTAGCCGGGCAACGCACGCTCATGCCATCCCGCTGCCGCCCCGCCCGCGCCCTGAAAGTAACAGACGAGGACCCACTCGACGAGGCAGGCTGCCTTGAATCCCGCGGGCGTCGCCATCCTCACACGTGAGTGTCAAGTCGGTGTCGTCGACCGATAAAGAGGAACTCGAAATCGTGCGCCCCAGACTGCGGCCGAACAACACTCCGAACACAAAGGCCGTGAACGAGCAAGTCGTCAGAAGCCCGAGTACGTGGAGAAGGCCAAACCCGTCGACGCTCTCGGTACGGCAGTGGCAATCGCACTGGCAGACACACTGGCCCGCACGGCCGACCAACTCCGCCAAGAGGTGGTACTCCCCGCTGGCGGTGGCCACTGGGGGCGGCGCCTCGCAGACGCACTCGACGGGGACGGGCCACAGGAGAGTGCGGAGAAAAGCAAGCTCGCGAAACACTGAGAAGCTGAGGAACAGAGCTTCCATAAAGTTCCTGTCCTGAACCAAAAAGCGCTATAGAGCGGAGAACGGATGACGAGGTCGGGTCATAACCGTGGGGCACAAAAATGATAATAATGGTAATGCCAATAATAATGAGAATAATAAGAAAAATATGAAGAGGAATCATACTACGACAAATGGATATAGAGGAGAAGGAAAAGATGGCAGAGGGAGGAAGAGGAAGGAGGAGGATGAAGAGAAGGAGGAGGAGGAGGAGGAGGAGGAGGAGGAGGAAGAAGAGGAGAGGGAGGAGCAGGAGGAGGAGGAGGAGGAGGGGCGGCCTTCTAAGGAGGCTGAGGGGCACTGGAAAGGAGGCATTGCGGCTCAAGTCCTCGCGCTGAGTTTCAAGACGACCCACTAGGGACAGCAATGAAAAGAGAACCCAACGCAAAAACGCAGCAATCGGACGTTGGCAATACTGGGTCCAATGGGACCTGGTTCAATATGTGTACCATTTGACACCCCCACCAAATTGAGCGGAACCGCCGCCAAACGAAGAAGCACAAGCTACGGCAGACCTGGTTCAGTGATCCATTCCATGTTTAAGTATGTTTTTGTCGTCGGGGCCCAATCACGAATCGGCTCCCCTTACTTGGGGTCCTGGTCAGGCCACACCCGAATCAGTGCCGAGGCTTCCCCACGGCGATGGAGGCTGCAGGAGGAACTGTGCAGCAGGGGGGAATAGACGGGCGGGGTGAGGCGGGGGGGAGAGGGGCAGGAGGAGGGACGAGGGAACAGAGGGACAGATGAAAAAAACCTGCGTACACATAAACTTTTGGCGCTCCGCGCAGATCTCTTAGACCTGCGCTGAACCCCCCCCCCCCCAAGAAATCCGCGCGTAACGCCAACAGTTTCTGTCTATGCCGTGTTTTCTGCTTCGAGGGGAGGTGGAGCAGCAGCAGAAGCAGGAGCTCGACAGAGGGCGGAGAGGCCTCCGACGACGCGGCCCCAAGAGGGCCGCCAGGAGAGGCTGGGAGGCAGCGGCAGGAGCGGCAGCACTGGTGGCGAGGCCGAGGCCCAGACCCCCCGACGTCATGATGTCTTCACCACGTCGGCTCCGGAGGTCTCGACCCCTTCCCCGGGACCGGCTGCTCATCGCTGAATCGTTCTGTTGACGGTCCCGAGGGCTGGGGTCGGGGCCTCCATGGAGGCCGAGGATGTGGAAAAGCCTCCCGTTCTGAGTTCTTGTTCCCTGCTGCAGAGGGGGGGGGGTCCCGCGGGGCTCCTCCACGCTGGGGGCGCCCTCCTCGCCCGCCGCCGCCAGCAGCCCGCCCGGCCCCCAGGGCGCCCCAGCCGCCGCGCGACGGGCTGCGCGCAGGGACGCCGGGCCCCGCGGTGGGCCGCACGGTGCGCGTGTGGAGAGCCTCCCGACCCAAGGGGGCGTCCAGCGGGCCTCGCTCGTCCGGGCGGGGAGGGGGGCTTTCGGGCGCGGCCTCGGGCCTCGCTCGTCCTGGGGGCAGGACCCGGGGCCAGGGGCCCTGCCCCCGGCCCGCCTGGCCCGAGCGCCACGGTCTCGGGATCAGCCCTGCCATAGATTGGGGGGGCGAAGGCCACGCGACCCCAAGAAGGCCCAGGCCCTCGAGCAGAAATGTTCGAATCGCATGAAAAGCATGTTGATGAAAGGTAGGGTTAGGTCGGGCGTGCCTTCCTACAGGCGGATTGTGGACGAAAAACTATTCAAACATTGCTTTCTTTTTGCGCAACTCCAAAAAACCTAACATGATCAAACATCATCCTCCCCATACTATGTGTTGACTATTTTTGAAGATTCCTCATGTAGAGGGACACGCCCGACTTACAGGTAGGGGCCAAGGACAAGGGGTGGGGCAGCAAGCCACTCCCAGATACCACAAGAACCCAGCTAAAGACGGGCCAGCCGGCGGGGAGGGTCAGGGGCCGGGGGCCCTGCCCCAGGTCATTGCATATACCGACGTTTGTTCGATCGCGATCGGTACGACGACCGGTCGGCACTCCGAAGCGGTCGCGAGGGATCGCCACCGAACTCGCGACCGATATCGGTCGCGAGGGATCGGTGGCGCGACCGATTTCGAAAAGCAAGTCGGTCGCGACCGATACCGAAGCTTGAAGCAGCATCGGTGGCGGCCGTTCTCGTCTGTCGCGACTGGGAAACTCCAGTACAGTGAAGGCCAGTCCACAAGAAACCTGCCACCAGAAACCCAACCCTCAGCCCCCCGGACGTCGATCGATCTTCGGTGTGGGAGCGTCACGCCCTCCACAGCACAACAATGGACACCCAAGAAACCCAGGGCACCCTGGAGGCAAGCGGGGTGCTTCTTGGCAGGGGCCTCCACCGTAGCCAATGCGCAGGGCACCGAGCGGCCCGGGCCCCCGAGGCGCCCTGCAGGCTATGCGAGGGCCGCGGAGGCCAGGCCAGGGGCTGGGGGTGGCGAGGCCAATGGGAGTGGAGGGGCGGTGGGGACCCCGGCCCGTGGCGACAGCAGTCACGACGGGAGGTGTCTCATGATTCATCATCGCGTGGCGAACAGGTCGCGGCGGAGGGTTTTCTCATTGTTCATCGGCCTCCTGGGGCCCTCGCCAGGCCCCAGGACCGTCCAAGAACGACTCAGGACGAGAAACTGGTCTGGTCCTGGGACCTGGAAATTTTCCCCTGGACCGACGCTTCATCCCGAGTCAGTGTTTGCCCGTTCTGGGGCCCAGGGAGGGCCCAGAGAGCCCGGGAACGGTAGAAAAAACCACAGCGCACGCTTCTCTCAGGACCCGCCTGCTTCATTCATGGCGAGAGTGGCGAGGCAGACGACTTGGGCAGGGACCGACCGTCCCGACATTCGTATAGACGAAATGTTCGTAGATCCTACAAATAATTTAATATGTTCTCATACCAAACGCAATGTTCTAAGGCCATGACCCGGATGAATTAAGACATCACAGTTTCAGCCAGATGTGCTGTAACCACAGTCCGTGCAAACCACGAGTGATTCTCAGAACAATCTCTGGTGGGCCTATAGGCGAGCCAGGACGCTTCGCCACTGCTCGAACGACGACGACGACGACGACGACGACGACGACGACGACGACGACGACGAGGGGGGCTCGGTGCCCGTGGGGGACCCTGGCGGAACGGCGCCCAGGCCTTGCGCATGGCGCCCGCCGCTCGCTTGGGCCCTCAGGACACGCTCCCCTCAGGACCCGTCTGCTTCCTTCGTGGCGCGGGTGTCGAGGCAGACGACGACGACGACGACGACGACGACGACGACGACGACGACGACGACGACGACGACGACGAGGACGACGACGACGACGACGACGACGACGACGACGACGACGACGACGACGACGACGGGCGCTCGGCGACCGCGGGGGGCCCTGGCGGAGCGGCGCCCGGGCCTCGCCGCATGGCGCCCGCCGCCAGCTCCGGCCATCCTGGCCGCGAAGGCCTCCAGGCTGCGCGGCCAGCGCTCCTCGGCCTCCTCCTCGTCGGACGACGAGGCGCCGCCGCCCGCGGGCGGGCCCGCCAGGGCGTGGAACCCCTGCGGCTGGTCCTTCGGGCCGTCGCCGACGTCTGGCGGCGACGATAGGGGCGAATAGCCCAGGGGCGGGCAGTACACGTATTCGCCCAGGAGCCTTTCCGAAGACAAATATCATCGGCGCACCAGAATACATGTATTGCTCTCCCCTGGGCCATTTTGCCCCTATCGTCGCCTCTGAGACGTCCGAGATCTCCGAGGATGTGATCTTTTCGACCCCGGCGCGTTTCTCCTGGACTGCGGCCTCTGGGGCCCGTCGTGGGGCCCCCTGGGGCCAGCAGGCACGGATCCGCGACGGCAAAACTGCCCCACGGGGAACGAGGGTCGGGACTTTTGGGACCGCGGATTGAACAAAATCAGATCGGAGGATGTCTGTGATGGATTGGGGATCCGTGGACCTGGCGCGTGGGCGCCAGATCCACTGACAGGGGAAAGCCCCACCAGAAGCATGGGGCCCATGCCGCCCGATCTGGCGAAAAGAGCGCGCCGATTCTGCAAGGGAAAAGGGGGCCCGTCGCCAACCCGCGCGCCTCGATCCCTGTTGTGATGGGCCGATCTTCCAACACCACTACCATATGTAGGCGAGGGAGGAGGAGGAGGCGGAGGAGGAGGAGGAGGCGGAGGAGAAGGAGGAGGAGGCTGAGGAGGATGAGGAGGACCTCCACATCTTCCCTTCTCCCCCGCCCTACCTGTGATAATTAGTGTTCCCATCAGGCTTGCGCTTCCTCCGCCCTGCCGGTCCAGCTGCTCCAACATCGCCTCCAGGGGCGGCGCGTCCTCCCCCTCGCCCTCGGCGAGGGCGGGCTGGCTCGCGGCCGCCCTGGCGCCGACGCGCTCCCGCGCGCTCCGCAGGGCGGCGGCCCACCACGGCTCCTCGAGCGCCTCCTCCAGCTCCTCTGGGGAAGCCAGAAGAGGAGGGAGGGGCAAGAGGAGGGAGCACACGAGAAAGGAAAGATGAGGGGGAGGGACCACCAGGGACGAGGGACGGAGGAGGAGCGACAGGAGAAGCCGGGGAAACCATAATTAAGGTAGTTACCGATACCGCTACTCTCCTCTCTCCGCAGACCTCTCCCAGGGTGCTGTCTGACCAAGATTTCGACGCGAATGTCCGGCGGTGGCGACAAGGGGCCTCCCAGGAGAGGCCCAAAAACGGGATCACGGGCGAAAGCTGGCGGCTAGACGAAAAAAACACGCCATAGGCATTAATTTTTGGCGCTCTGCGCGGATTTCTCTGGCCTGGACTCCCAGTCACCGGCGAGCGGAGCGCGCCAGGGGAGGCACCGGACGCGCCGTCGGGGGGGCCCAGAGCGGAGCCACGAACTCCGCGCGGAGCGCCAAAAGTTTATGTTTATGTATTTGTGTTTTCCCTCCTTCGAACGGTATGTGGACCCAGACACACGACGTCCTGATTTTTTCAGGACGGCGTTCAATCCCGACCCTTTTCCCTGGGACCCGTTTTTCGTCCCGAGACGTTGCTTGACGGTCCCGAGGTCCGGCGCGGGCCCCCAGGACCCCAGGGGCCGAAAACGGCGAAAAACCTGTCGCCCTGATTTTTGTCTTACGACGCGAGCATGTCTGGCCTCCTCCTCCTCCTCCTCCTCCTCCTCCTCCGCCTCCGCCTCCGCCTCCGCCTCCTCCGCCTCCTCCTCCTCCTCCTCCTCCTCCTTTTCCTCCTCCTCCTCATCATCATCATCATCATCAATTTCTCCTCGGAGCCTCGTCCACCCTGCGGCCGCAGCGGCCCTCGCCCTCGCCCGCGGCGCCGCCCCGCGGCGATCCGACGGCAGGGGCGGCGCGGCCGGGGCCGTTGGCCACCGCCGCCGCGCCCGCGCGGTCGGCGCCCGCCGGGCACGACGCCGGAGGCCGAAGGAGGCCGAAGGAGAGGGGGAGGAGGAGGAGGAGGAGGAGGAGGAGGAGGAGGGGGAGGAGGAGGAGGAGGAGGAGGAGGGAGGGAGGAGGGAGGGGGAGGAGGAGGAGGAGGAGGAGGTGGGAGGAGGAGGAGGAGGAGGAGGAGGGACGAGGAGGAGGAGGAGGAGGAGGAGGAGGAGGAGGAGGAGGAGGGGAGGAGGAGGAAGAGGAGGAGGAGGAGGAGGAGGAGGAACCCAGCGCAAGGGGGAAGGTCGTCAACGACATCGGCTAGAGACCCCGTGGCTTCCAGCCCTTATCGACGCCGCGCAGGCTGGGGAGATCAGCAGCGACGGCGGAGGAAGGAACACACGTGAAAGAATGATGAACAGAGACGGGCGGCGAGAGCGGCGGCGAGGCCAGCGCGGGGGAGAGGGGGGGAGGCGAGACAGCAGAGGGCAGCAGCAAAGAGGACTCCAGGGACGGGGCGGAAGGGGGAAACGACATGGGCGGCACCAGAGGAGGCAGCCGCAAGCGAGAGCAATGGCGCCTGCCCGTAGATGTCGAACAGGCGGATAGCCGTAGTTTCAATCAAGGAGGCACCAACATGCTGATAAGGGAGGGGCAGAGAAATGGGCGAAGGCACGATGGAACCAGTCGGGGAGACGGGCGAAACAGCTGGCTCGGAAGAGGGCAGCAGTAAAGATGGGACGGGCGCAGACAGCCTGGGGGAAAGACGCCCAGTACGGGGCGAAAGAGCGATGGGGCAGCAGGGCAACGCCGATCCAGGCGGGAGAGAAGGCAAGATGGGGACAGTCGAAAAGATATTGCGGCGAGGCAGAGCGGTGGGAGGAGAAGCGAGCGAGGAGCAAGCAGTGGCATCCGCAGAGCTCAGAGGGACGGACGAGGGGGGGAGGAACGGGCCAGCCCAACGGCTGGGACACACACGATGCGGGTGGTTGAGACAGGCCAGAGAGGGGGAGGCGACAGGAGGGCTCGCTGGTCGAAGGACTGGGAGGAGAAGGCAGGACACCGCAGGGAGGCATCAGGTCGCGCCACTGATGTCGGCAGGGCTGTCGTCGCAGAGAGCGTCATCGACGAAGACGGCGCAATTGATGTCCACCCGCAAGACGGCACAGCCGTTGCAGGATTCCGATCGGCAAGTGGCGACGGCGAGCCCGAACACGACATCGGGACTTGCGATCTAACGCCATCGGACACCAGTCCAATATCACGGCAAAGCATGGGTGGCGACGGCGAGCCCAAACACGACAAAGGGACTTGCGCTCTAACGCCATCAGCTCGGAGGTCATCTCCGATGGATCCCATGCGCGGCGACGTGATGCCCGAACACGACAACGGAACTTGCGCTTCAACGCCAGACCGACAACAGGCGACGGTGAGCCCGAACACGACAACGGGACTTGCGATCCAACGCCAAGCGGTGGCGACGGGGGCGGGGAAGAGCCTGTCGCAAACGTCACTGGCGAGGTCAGCGCCACCGGAGCGCCGCGCGAAATCGGGGCCGACAACGTCACTGGCGAGGGCGGCGTCACAGAAGCTCCGCTTGGAATCGAAGACGGCAACGCAATCGAATGCCCAGGGGCTGCCCACTGCGGCGTGCACGCGGACGCTGGCGAGGACGGCGACACCCATGCACAGCAGGAAATTGGAGCCGACAACGCCATAGGCGAGGACGGCGTCAAAGAAGCACAGCACGAAAGGGATGTCGGCGACGCCGCCGACGCAGAAGCAGCCCTCAGCGAAGCGCATGCGGACACAGGCGACGACGGCGTCATCCAAGCACAGCACGAACCTGAGGCCGACAACGTCATCGGCGAGGACGGCGCGATACCTGGAGGACATCGGCCACGGCGAGATTGGGTAAATGGAACCCTGGAAGACGGACGAGGGAAGAGAGCCCGCGACGGGGCGACGACCGCAAGGATCGGCGAGCCAGATGCGGCCGAAGGCGAGCGGCGGGGTGCCGACGAGGAGGAAGCCCGTGCCGTGCTCGCTGTGCCACTGTCAGAAATGGAGGCGGAGGATGCTGCCGACGAGGTTGAGGCGGCCCCGCACGGCGATGGGGGCGAGGGCGAACTCGAGCAAGACATCGCAGGAGTGAGACTCGGAGAGGAGGGCGGAGAGCTGCTGGAATCGTTAGGGCTCGACTGCGGAGGGCGGATGAGGTAGTCCCTGCGAGCGAACTGCTTTCTTTCGGTTGCCGGCGTGGTTTGAGGCGTGGCCGGCATTGCCCTCGCACCAGCAACTGCGCAGCTCCGGATTGACGCAGGGGAGAGCGGCCATGCGTCACTCAGACGGGCCCCATTGCACATATTGTAGGCGGTCGCGATCACGGAGTGGGATTGGCAGGACGGTCGGCACAGGCCCCATCTGGACGGGAAGTCGAGGGCGAAGGGTCGGGCCATGGGCACGCCGAAGAGCCGACCACAAGACAGGGCATCTGGCGCAGTGCTTGAGCGCGTCGCTCTTGCCCAGGCAGCCAAAGGTGCACGGACGCTTCCCACGCGGCGAGATGATGCGGGCGGATGTCATCCGGCCGTCGGTCCACGAGCGGATCACCGCCCACGCCCAATCACAAGGACACCTTCGAAGGACGGCCTGGCAAGCGCACCAATCCACGTAAAACGAGGAGCTGGCGTGCTGGCCACCGATCTTGGCAAGGCGCAGGGTGAACAAGGAGCGGAGAGGACGTGCCGCCAGCGAAGGCTCGCGCAAAGCGGCATGTGCAGCACGCTGAGGACGGGGGCGAGAGCGGCCACCGTGGTCCAGAGCAGCGAGGGCCGCCGCAAGTGGAAAGGATCCGACAGCGGCGAGCGGACAAGACGGGGGACGGCCAGCAGCAGCAGCCTCCAGGTTCTCGACGAACGCGGGCGCCTTCCAGAAGTTGGGACAGGGGAGGCCCGCGGCGAGCATGTCGAGAGTGGCCCATTCAGGGTGTTCATCAGCATGAGCACGGAGTCTAGCCAGCAAATGAGGCCAACATAGGAAGGTGAGCGTGGCGGCACGAGTGGTGGTGGCAGTCGTGAGGCCCCCCAGGCGGATGCAGCGCGGGCCGCCCCAGCGGTCGAGCTGTGACCAAGCGTCGAGGTGCAGCGCACCTAACGGGAGCCTGAACACCTGCGCGAGCACCGAGAGCTCTGGATGGAGGACGGATTTCGGCGGCCAGCAGAACTGTGCGACGTGCGAGAGTGTGGTGACCGCCCTCGTGTTGTGGAGGATGGCGGAGTGACTGGCAGGGGTAGTGCTGCGTCCAATTGCTTGAGCCCTCAAACGGAGCTTCGATAGAGGCGCGCCCCATGAAGTAGTTGGGGGAACCGCGGGGCCAAGCCAGAGGCCCAGATACAACAGCTGCGGGGTGATCTCGACCCCGATCCACTTAGGGGCCTCCCTCGATATAGCGTCCCGAAAATCCCTGGCCAGCGCGACGGAGAAGGGCCCAGACAGGGAAACAACCTTGCACTTCGCAGCTTCAGGTCCAAGTTGGCCATAACCGACGCGCAGGACATGACCTGGGAGACCTCAGAGAGGGCCTGGACGGATCTCAGGGCGCCACCGATGTCATCAGCACAAGCTCTGATAAGGCCTAACTGAGGGCCCTCCGCCTTCTCAGCCAGGTCTACGAGGAACGCGGCAGTGCCCAGGGCGCACAGAGTGCCTGATAGGGGGCAACCTTGAATGATACCGCTCTGGGTCCAGAACACGTGCTCGAGATGACCTTTGCGGAACGTGACCCCTTCGATCGACGAGTAGATGGGCGCGACGAGCTGCGCGAAGGGCCCAGGGGGGCCCATGACACTGAGGCAGCGCCGCAGAAAGTCCTGGTTGAGGGAGGGGAAGGCCTGGCCGAAATCGAGGGGGGAACAGGGCAGGGACGTCGCGGGAGGCGTGCGGCGTGACAGACAACATCCTGCTCGGGACGTCTAGCTCGAGAATCTTGACCCCGAAGTTCCGACCAGGAACAAATCCGCGCTGGCACGGCGGAGCCAGGGCCTGCAGAGCAGGACGGGTGGCATGGTTGACCACCGCGGAGATGACCTTGAGGTCGCAATTCCGAAGCCCCAAGACCCGAACTTTGTCAGGAGAACGGATGCACGCGCGGTCGGCGAGCTCGGCGCCCGCGGCATTCTTAGGGGGGGAGATCTGGGCCGTGCCCCCCGAACAAGCGAAGAGCCCCTGGCCCTTGAGGATCCACTCGAGAGCCTCCCAGAGAATATCCACGCTGCATGGAGAGGCCGCCCACGCTGCGCATGGAAGGGCGCCGGGACCAGGGGGGGTGGCGAGCCGCGCGAATAACTCTTCCGATCATTCCCTTTGACGGCGGTGGCAGCACGATATGAGGAGCAGCGGGAAGGGAGCGGCGGAGGCACCCATCAGCGGCAACAGCGCCCCACGACTTCTTGCGAAACACGGGCGCCCAACAAGCAGGCAGCTCACGAACGCGAGCCTCGAGGTCGGAGACGACCCTTCCGTCTTCCAAGGCGACGCCAGACAACGAGATGCGGCGATTCAGCGGGGACCACAAACGAGCCCTTCGTTCGAGCGCCCGAAATTGACAGCGAGTCTGAAATCGATCCCCCTTCTCGGCGTTGCGAAGCTTCAAGACTTTTCCAGGCGGTCTCGGCAGCCTCGCTCTGGACCTGGTCGATCCAAGCTTGAAACGACAGGGGGTGGCGAAGCACGACCCTCCCCGACGCAATGGGGATGAAGTCAGTCGCGAGCGGGTGGGAGTCCAAAATGCGGGCAGCAAGCGATCGGTCCTGGCGCCACACCACCCGAGCAAGCGACCGCGCAAGCTGGACAAGCGTAGCAGGATGATGAGGGCGGTGACGGAAGAGGGCACCCCTGGTCTCGGCTGCAGCAATCCTCAACAACTCTTTGAATTTCTCCAGCTTGACAAGGGGCGACATAGCTTCCCACTGCGCGGCACTGAACAGACCCTCAAGACGCCGCTGAGATTCAGGAGCTTCGAAAATGCGTTTCTGGATGGGACGGGTGCTCGGGGGGCGAGCAGCACGAGCGGACATAGTGAGGATAACCGCG